AGCAGGTGCCTATGGTAATCAGGAAGGTAAAAGTTGTGGTAAAAGAATTCCCAGTGTTTGAAATTCCCGTAAATTCGTGTAAGTCACATGGTTTTGCTTGTTTGAGAATTTTCGTGCAAAGCTACACACAGCGCTATCTGAGCTGTCCCTAATTTTGAGTTGATAAACTAAAGGAATGGCAACTTGTCAATAAAATCTTGGGCTACTCTTGTCTAAACGAAGAGTGAGGTTTGTCCAGTACACTTATAGCGCACATACGACCCCTAAATTTGGTGCACGACTTCGCGATAACAGCCTGTGAACCATGAACCATCGGATTCATAGTTTGAGTACATTAACCACTTGGCGACCCCTGGTCCATTACACGGTTCATTTATTGTTAGTAGGATAGAAATGAAATTTTTACTAAGAAAGCTGATCTCTGCCTCAGAAGGTGATCTGTTTGGGAGATTGATGATATTCGAAACATCTATTGTATTTATTTACTCTGTCGACAGGATAGTGTTGTTGCTAGTGTTATGAGAATGTGCACTACATCGAAAGTTAGAGTACTCGCTTTTATTGTTACATCTTCATGAAAACAAGTCAAGATTTAATTTGCAGTAGCAGACTTTGATTCATTTGTGTTTTTATTAGATTAGGTCATGTTCATACTTTGTTTTTATTAGATTAGGTCATGTTCATACTTTGTTTTTATTAGATTAGGTCATGTTCATACATTGTTTTTATTAGATTAGGTCATGTTCATACTTTTCTATATTAAAGCGGATAGTTTCAGTCTTTTGTTCAAACTGAATTCTTTTTTCTTCAAGACAGGGATTTAGAGATGAGTGTAGCTAAATGTTTCTTGATCTAGGCTATTTCATCAAAACTTCTACATGATTTTCGTTAACTGTAAAGAGATATTTTCGAGAGTTTGATGATACCATTTGTTACCGAAGTAGCTGTTATTAATTCCTGTTGTTATAGATACTTTCAGTTCTAGAAATCGGAGTATATTGTTTCAACAACTTCAATACTTCTTTTTCCCGTCTGCTTTCTACAAAACGAGCAAATATATATATATTCGACTGCTCTCCTATCCAGATGAACTTCTTAAATGTCACTGTTTTCTTGAAAGGAAGGTATTCTACTTATATCAAAATCCAACTGACAGATCACAATATCGCCACTATAAACGTTACCTCCTCTCCCAGATTAAAATCAAGTCCTTCATGTTAAAATAATTTATAATGATGTATACAGTTATAAAAAACACACTGATTCAATAATAAATCTTTATACATTTAAGTTATAACTAATCTGAAACTGATAGAGAAGAAATCTAACACCACTCAACGACAATTTCACTGAAAAACTCAATCAAAACCGATTTAAACTTTGTAAGTCGGTTTCTTGTACGAAACACCATATATATCTCACACATAGATGGATGAACCCAGAATTACTAGAAAGAGTTTCAATAATCATAAATCTATCAATTCTAAAAATGCCCTTCCTGTTGCCAAGGGTTTTATGGAACCTAATCATTCTGTCAGTGATATGATATTACTAGGTGTCGAACTGGGTTTAAAACTAAAGCAGATAGAGATTGGAAATGTATATCCTTGAATACCGATCATGCCTATTGGATAAACCTTAAATCCAGATACAGTGATCGTCGGTCTTTAATCTGTTCTTGGTCAGGTAAAAATGTTTATTATTATGCATTAATTTATTTACATATTTTTATGTGAGAGAAGTATGTTTTCATTTTGTTCTTAATGTTCCAGTGAAAACCAACTTAAACACACCTGTAATGTTCTAATAAAACCAACTTAAACACACCTGTAATGTTCCAGTGAAAGCCAACTTAAACACACCTCTAATGTTCCAATAAAACCAACTTAAAAACACCTGCAATTTTCTAATAAAACCAACTTAAATACACCTGTAATTTTCCACTGAAAGCCAACCTAAACGCACCTGTAATGTTCTAATAAAACCAACTTAAAGACACCTGTAATGTTCCAGTAAAAGCCAACCTAAACACACCTGTAATGTTCCAGTGAAAGCCAATCTAAACATCCCTTTGTTATGATAGTAAACAGCTATATATTCTATTGACTTATTAAAAATCAGTTCACTAACTTTTGTGCTTTACACTTCCAAATTCAATCTTCAAAAGCCTTAGAAATACTGGGTTTCTTGTTTCGTGCAGCGAGTAATATTATTCAAAAAGAGAAAAAAATGACAATGTATGGAAATAGATTAGATCTGAAGTCACTTTAAATGTTCGAAATAGTATATTACTTATATGATATATTAGATGTGATAACAGTAGAATACGTACATTATGTACCTTTGTTGCTGGTGCTTAAATCATAATTAATTTACCTCAATTGAAGGTATGATCATATCCCAAGTCAAAATAGCAAAACGCTACATTCCTTTAAGTATACGGAGAACTACTTTTGTCAGCAGCGAGAAAACTACATAAAACATCATTGAATAATGATCTTAGACATTTAATCAATATCTAAAAGACGTGTTAAAAATTGCTATGTTTGCTGCTGGTTGATCTATTATACAATAATTACCACAAAATTAGTTATATTTCGTATTTCAGATAAACATGATCCAGCGTGTTCTACAAATGGAAAAGAATGGCACTGACAGTTAGATTAATCAAACATAAAATACACACCCACACAAATTAAGAATCTTACCATCTTCTTTACCCTTCGGCTTTAATTTGAGTCAAAGATAACAGACCAAAGAGCTTTCAATAGGCTTACTATCTTCTATACACTGTCACATTACTATAGAGTTACAATAAATCATTAGACAGATGTACCTTATGAAAAACATCCGTTCTGAACCTTGAGTTACTGTAAATCATTACACTTTAAGGTGCACCTTAAGAAAACCACCCGTTTTCAACCTTGAGATTTTGTAAATCATTACACTTTAAGATGCACCTTAAGAAAACCACTCGTTTTCAACCTTGAGTTTTTGTAAATCATTAGACAGATGCACCTTATGAAAACCATTCGTTCTGAACCTTGAGTTACTGTAAATCATTACACTTTAAGATACACCTTAAGAAAACCACCCGTTTTCAACCTTGAGATTTTGTAAATCATTAGGCAGATGCACCTTAAGAAAAACATCCGTTCTGAACCTTGAGTTTTTGTAAATCATTACACTTTAAGGTGCACCTTATGAAAACCACTCGTTCTGAACTATGAGTTACTGTAAATCATTAGACAGATGCACCTTAAGAAAACCATCCACTCTGAACCTTGAGTTACGGTAAATCATTAGAAAGAGATGCATCTTAAGAAAACCATCCGTTCTGAACCTTGAGTTTTTGTAAATCATTAGACAGATGCACCTTATGAAACCATCCGTTCTGAACCTTGAGTTACTGTAAATCATTACACTTTAAGGTGCACCTTAAGAAACCCCCCGTTTTCAACCTTGAGTTTTTGTAAATCATTAGACAGATGCACCTTATGAAACTATCCGTTCTGAACCTTGAGTTACTGTAAATCATTACACTTTAAGGTGCACCTTAAAAAAACCACCCGTTTTTAACCTTGAGTTTTTGTAAATCATTACACTTTAAGATGCACCTTAAGAAAACCACCCGTTTTCAACCTTGAGTTTTTGTAAATCATTAGACAGATGCACCTTATGAAAACCATCCGTTCTGAACCTTGAGTTATAGTAATCATTAGACAGATACACCTTACGAAAACCACCCGTTCTGAACTTTGAGTTACTGTAAATCATTAGACAGATACATTTTATGAAAAAAACCCGTTCTGAACTATGAGTTACTGTAAATCATTAGACAGATGCACCTTAAGAAAACCATCCACTCTGAACAATGAGTTACGGTAAATCATTAGAAAGAGATGCATCTTAAGAAAACCATCCGTTCTGAACCTTGTGTTATGGTAAGTCGTTAGACAGATTCACCTTAAGAAAACCATCTGTTCTGTACCTTGAGTTACGATAAGTTATTAGATAGATGCCTTTTAATAAAATCTCGAATTACGATGGGTGGAGTAATAATTAAGAAAAACAAGTACCCCGAATTAATATACATTGAAGCCTCTTCGCTTTACAGTTTGCCACCCGATATATATCACTTGAAGATAGTATATAAAGTTAGAATCAATACAATTTTGATAGTTTTGTGTTATCACATTAAGTTATTTTTTTTTAGTAATTAGGGAAAGGTTTATGTATGAACAAGCGACACATACACTGTGCTGTAAGTTTAATCCACAATATGCCAATTGAGCACCAGCTAAAAATTATACGTTTTGATGTATGACCCGTCATACGGACATTTTTTTCTCTAACGATAGTGTAAACATTCGTTGTTGTATTTGTGCTATTTCTCGCTACTTTACAAATTTTAGTAAAACTACTTAGCAATAGAAACAAGATTTCCAGGTTCAAGTGTCATGCTTGTTTCAGGGAGGTAGTGTAACCTACTTTTCACCGAACTACAGTTTGTTTTGTCAACCAATCAGCTATGCCACAGACCCAGAAACAATGAAGGTAAGGGTTTTATAGCGTGAAAAAAAAAAGGAGTAAAACGTTCATTGTTGTACATTGAAAACATAATCGTTTATTTATAGTACATAACATTTTCTTTACAGTTAAAGCTCTAACGGTTTTCTTCGTATTCTCTTGTCTATTATTATCTTCCTTTTATATTTTACTTTCCAATTTCTTGCATGCTGCGCAGTCACCTGTTCTTGCTGTATTTGGTTAAAGTGGCAGTTCTTTTTAAAGTTAAAAATCAAACAGTTTAAAAATACTTTAAAATATTTTCAAAAACCTTATTATTGTTAATTTAAAACAAATAAATAAAAATACACATGTACAAAAGTTGAAATACTGGTTTCGTATCTTCCAGGATACTCTTTAATTTCTAAAATGAGGCTCAATCTAACAAGACCTACTTAACATAAGGTCAAAAAACGCGGAAAGTTTTACATAGTTAATCAGGTCTTATCAGAGGGAGGCTTATTTTAGAGTATCCTGTAAGGTACAAAACCGGTATTTATACTTTTATATATGTGTGGTTTATTTATTTGTCTTAAATTAACAATAATAAAGAGATTTTAAAAGTATTTAAAATATATTTTATATTGTTTAATTTATATATATATATATATTCTCGCTTTGGTCAAGTAATTAGTTCTAACTTAAGAATCTAATTACGAATTATTTATAACTTTATTCTTGAATATTTAATAATTGCATGTTGCATGTATCCCAACGAGATTTTCATAATTCTGGTAAATGAAATAAACAAACGATTATTAAGGTAGGCCTAAAAATAGGCCATGCATGGTTAGCCATTCAAAAATTTAGCATTGACCTACGCCGTCCTTTAGTAGTGACATAAATTGTTCGTTAAGGTTATTTTTATGTTTTATAAATACAAACAATAACTTTGCGTTATCAGTTGTTATAAGGGGCTGGCAACATTACAGTTTTTCATGTAAAAAAGATTAACAATGCAACAGAAAAAAAGAAAAAAAAAGTAACAACCAAAAGTAAACTTTTTATTTTTTCATGCATTATGTCAATGTCATAATCTTGTAACTGAGAACCATACAGATTTGATGTCAGTCAGTTGTTTATAAGTGAATTATTTATATCACTTGAATAGGACAAAAACTGCCATTGAATTTTGCATGAAAGCTAGAAAATAAACATCACACTACTTTGGTAACATTCTCTACATCCTGGTGACTTTGTGTTTCAAAGTCGAAATTTATAATCAAATAGGTGTTAAAGTAATTAACAGGTGGGGCGTTAGTGAACTTGAGAACGTGGCTAAAACTAGCATAAACACTGTGTAGTAAGTCTGATTTATAAATTTGATGTTAAAACCACTTCTTTCTAGTTAAAGTTTGTCTTTTATATAATGTCAAACAGAGCGATACAATAATATTAACAAGCAGGAAATTCTGTTCGAGGACTGTTTGATATGAAAGATCACCCAACATAGAAAGAGGGTGTTAAGTTATGCTATTTTTTCTGAGGCCCGACCGTGGGTTAGTGGTTTCAGCTGTGAATGCATTATAAAGTGACCGCCACCTCTAACCTCGCTAACATACTAGTTGTTCGGATAAGTTCGTTTTTGGATCTTCGTGCAGGGGCTTGCTGTTCATGATTATGGGCTGATAGATAAGAGGGAATAAATTTAATTAACAGCAACCACTACTAACTCTTGGGTTATTCTAACTGAAGTATTGTATTAAACTGTTACACTTATAACATTTTGAGTCGATGCAACAATAGAACCTCGAATTCACAGTTCGGCACACTAACTGCTATGCCACGTAGTGCTCATGCGGTTAAGAGTGGCCACTTTATGTGACAGATGCTACCGATTTTTTGGCTTACCACTGCCTCGAAGTTCAAAATTAAGAATGGCTATGCCTGAACTTTAGGGTTTTTTGACCTAGTTGTTTATGCTATTGTTGAGTAGAGGTCGTTCAGGTGAAGAACATATTTATTTTTCTTTTTGTACTTTCAATAAAATATTTTTTCTGCCTATAGTGACAATATAAATTGTGCGAGAAAAGTACTTGCACAGTCTGAGGAATTATAGCACTAAAAATCAGGTTTCAATACCCGCGTTGAGCAGAGCACAGATAGCCCACTTATTGTGTAGCTTTGCCCATAACAACAAACTAACTAACAAATCAGGTGCACTCTAGGTGGTGTTTCTAATTCCTGGTATATAACATATGAACAGCAAGTACAATGCTCGTGCCTATAGTACAGGAGTAATATAAACTTAAAAGCATAGACGGTTTTTAACTGTTTGTCGTCAAACAACTTATCAACTCAATTAATTTTGATAATTTTATAATAATTTCTCAAGAGTCCGTAAGATAGGAATAATTTAAACGCCCCGTTAAATATATTATCAATGTTTGTCAGAGCTCTCTTATGTCGGCCAGATTTATCCATGATAACTGTGAAATCTCTTAAGAAAGATGCGTAAACCATAAGACTTGAAAGGGCTGTATGAAGACATCAAAGTATACGCACTATTACAGACTATTCCCAAATAAGCATAAGCTTAACGAATTAATGTACTATGACATGTATTAACTTGATTGAATTATAATTATGATGACATTCTAATTTCTCTCTGTTGCGCTGAGATTGAATTTTATATTCTTTATATTTCTCTTTCTAACCATTAGACTGTTTGTTTATAATTTCTGTGAATAAATGAACCTTGAATAAATTAAAAAATCGTGTTTTTGTGAGGACTAATTGATATGAAAGATCATCCAAGATAGGAAGAGGGTGTTAAGTTATGCTATTTTTTCTGGATTCACGGATGTTAGCAAGCGTCGTGGCTTTTCTCGTTATTAAATAAATATCTTTTAAATAATAGTGTTTTATCAGGGTGGATTAAGCTTCAGGAAAGGATTTTTTGTTATATTTTTCCTTGTAATGAGACATAACTTCGGAACTATATGCATTGATATGCAAAACATATTGTTTACCATGTAGATGTAGGTCCCCAAAGACAAGATTAACTTGAAATAATATTAACCCTTGATTTTAGAAATTAAAATATATACATATATGTATTTCAATGATACCTGGAATTAATACTTTCATTACCAAAGAAATTCTATTTAGTAAAATGAAGCAATTCAGATACTAACTAATGAATATGACCCATTAAAGTTTCATTCGGAAATATTTGGAGATATAGATTTTCCCTGTAGACTGACTAAAATCACCTGGGGAACAAAGCGGTGTCAAAGGTTTGGATTATTTGTATATTGTTAAGTAGAAAGACCACCACAAGCATCAAAACCAGGTTTTTAGCGTTATATTGTTTGTTTTGAATTTCGCGCAAAGCTACACGAGGGCTATCTGCGCTAGCCGTTCCTAATTTAGCAGTGTAAGACTAGAGGGAAGGCAACTAGTCATAACCCCCCACTGCCAACTCTTGGACTACTCTTTTACCAAC